TTTCCTGTCCTCTGATTCAACTTCTTTACATGAAGGTTGTACGCTCATTGTGACATTATATGACTCTTCTGTTTTAATTACATCTATTTTTGTATTGAGCAATTCTTGGCACGTATTCGTTGCTGTTTTACTTTCATTTGTGATACTTTGATCAGCCTTTTCTGTATTAGATATTGTTTCCATCTGTTGGTATAACATTTCCTGGTCTCCCTCACCATTTTCACAAGACAAATCAGTGCAAATTTTCTCCGTATTTTGCAAAGTAACAATTTGTGTGTCTAAATTGACTACATTTTCGTCCGCAACATTTTTCACTTCATCCATTTTTGTAAGTTACAACATTTGTTAATGTTTTTGTTGAACTTGATTGTTTTCTTAATTAAAATTTTTGCAAAAAAGAAAAAACTTTGTTTACGCGTCAAACAGTTGAATGCAATTATTTTTGAAAAGTGCTGCCAAATCGACTTTGAAATATAAACAACTTTAACAAATTTATTAATGCAAAAATATAATATACATAAAAAATGTTTTCCTTCATCACCAAAAAAATTTTATACTAAAATCTATAAAAAGTTTTATTAATAACTTTTGTAGCAATAATTATTAGCATAAGTGTATAGAAATAAGTATACTCTTTAATAACATACCTGCGTTTGGTGCTTACTGCACCACTTCTGACAGCTGTTGAATGAATTCGTGAGCTTGTTTACTTGTTTGAATAATTTAATAAAATTTATTGCTAAAGTAAATTAAATATGGTTTGCTCGCTTGGTATTGAAGGTAGTGCCAATAAAATAGGTATTGGTATTATACGCGATGGTGAAGAGTTGGCTAACGTACGCCGCACATACATAACACCACCTGGTGAAGGTACGTTCTTACAATACATAAATGCACTGGATTTTAAATAACTTTTCAAATAGGTTTTATGCCAAGAGAAACAGCCAAACATCATCGCGAACAAATTGTTAATCTCGTTAAGCAAGCTATCAGTGAAGCAAAGATAAATCCCACTGAAATTGATGTAATTTGCTATACAAAAGGGCCTGGTATGGCACAGCCATTGCTTGTTGGCGCAATAGTGGCGCGCACATTATCATTGGTATGGAATAAACCACTACTTGGTGTAAATCACTGTATTGGGCATATAGAAATGGGTCGTTTTATAACAAAAGCACAAAATCCTATCGTGCTCTATGTCAGCGGCGGTAATACACAGGTTATTGCCTATTCAAATAAACGTTATCGTATATTTGGTGAAACTATTGATATCGCAGTGGGAAATTGTTTAGACCGTTTTGCACGTATCATAAAAATTTCCAATGATCCTAGTCCAGGCTATAATATTGAACAACTAGCTAAAAATAGTCAAAACTATATAAAACTACCTTATTCTGTTAAAGGTAAAAAAAATTTTTTCATTTAATGTAATGTTAAAAAAAATTAATTAATTTTCAAGGTATGGATGTAAGCTTCTCTGGTATTTTATCATATATAGAAGAATTGGCTGATCCAAGCAAAAGACGTCAAAAACGTAAAAAGGATGAGAATGGTGCAGAACCTGAATATTCTAAAGAAGATCTATGTTATTCTTTACAAGAAACTATATTTGCTATGCTAGTCGAAATTACAGAACGTGCAATGGCGCATTGTGAATCAACTGAAGTGAGATATAAATACTTGGATTTTTTTTATTTTTATTACGTTTACCTTTATTCAGGTTCTTATTGTTGGTGGTGTTGGTTGTAATTTACGTCTGCAAGAAATGATGGGTATTATGTGTAAAGAACGTGGTGGTAAGGTGTTTGCCACTGATGAACGTTACTGCATTGACAATGGTTTGATGATAGCACATGCTGGTGCTGAAATGCATCGTGCTGGTATACGAATGCCTTGGGATGAATCATTTATAACGCAACGTTATCGTACCGATGAGGTACTTGTAACATGGCGCGACGATTAATTTTTATTAAATTGACAGAACCTTTAAAGTTTTCCAAAAATATGTTTTCGACATTTATGTTAAATAAATAATAATATATTAATAATAAGAGATACCAAAACATATTGATATTATATTTGTAACATGAAAGATATGATGGATTCATTCAGTGGAATTCTTAAAACCATAATCTTGAAGTGCAGCTAATTGATGCTTACTCAATATGATTTTTAGAAGATTTAAACAATCTTTTAAGTATTAAATGGCTTTAGTGTCTATTTTTTTTAAGTGCCACTTACCGCTTTCATTCGAGTTTCGTCATCGATTAGGGCCGTAAAATATCTGGTCACAATAATTAATACAGTAATCATAAATTCTAAATTTTAAATTTATCTATTTTTAAATGGCTATAATAAACTTGGTTATTAAAAAATGAATTACTTTAAAAAAAGTAAAAAAGTTAAATATTTCTAAAAATTATATATTATAGAGTAAATAATAAGCCCAGAGGGAACAAGTAATAATATTTGACATCAAATAATTTTTTTAAGGCTATTATGTTTAAAGTTTTGTTTAGTTGATGGTTATTATCTATCAAAAAATTATTATAAAATTGACAGTCATTTAATTATTTGAATTCTGTCGGTCAAGAATGTTAGAGAAAACTTCAGTATTTATGAGCTATGTGAACTCTTAAAGAACAAACCTTTTATTTTTATATAAATTCAACTAATATTTTATTAAATTATTTATTAAGATATTTATTTAAATAGTATTAATTAAACAGCCAAATTTGTCTCCTAAAAATATATTTATTAACATAAAAAAGTAATAGAGCATTGTCGAGCATCCCTTTTTAACCGAATTTTATATGTAACTTGTAAATCATAAATAATTTGAATAATAAATAATTTTATTCATTTAATTCTTTTTCGATGCCGCGCCAGTAACTAGTCATTTCCATTGGAAACAGACGTTTACCTTCGATAATATAAACAGCACCATTTTCTTCCTTTTCCAATGCAGATAACATGCAACGTCCCACATCCGTGACGCTTTGCTTGTTCAAACGATCCAAAACACGATACGATTCATCTCCCATATCAGAATAAAGAATCTTCTCAGTAAAATTCGTGAACATATCAGTAATAGTGGCACCTGGACAAACAGTAATAAATTTGATGCCAGTACGTTGAAGATACATATCGTTCTAGAGAGAAAATATAAAAATTAGTAGAATTATTAGATGTAAATAGTTATCTGAAGTACTGGACAACGTCGACATATATATAAGAAGTGTGAGATAATATGATATAATGGAGAAAGTTT